AAAAATATGTCGGATTAATATATATATCTATTTTCGACTGAATAAGTATATACATAAGAATTCAATACGGATATCAATAGGTACATCAATAAATAAAAGTTAGAATGTCTTATCTTCCGACGTACATACACGCACACACAAATATATATATATATATATATATATATATATATATATATATATGTATATATATGTGTGTGTGTGTGTGTGTTGTTGTTGTGTGTGTGCATCCACGTGTTGATACAGATTTTGTGTGGATAACATTTTCCAAAGTTTGACTCAATTGAATACCTCGATCTAATAGAGAAACTATATCAGTCCACAAAACCGGCGACTCTGGCAAGGACTCTAAAATGGAAACATTTCAAACATCATCAGGAGTATGACAAGGAGGACTTGAGAGTCCTAGTCTATTTAATCATTTCCTAGTCTATGCTCTGAGCATATATATAAGCATAAATGTGCAGAGATCATTCCATATCATATCTCAGACGAATATACTAATAGAAAACAGCATCCCAGTTTTCCCTTCCAAGGCCAATGTACTGATGATTAGGCCGGGGCTATGCTGATGACAGGTATTCATAGTTGGGATTAGAATGATCTTGAACAAAAAATCAACATCCTCTATTAAGTATTCCAAGAAATAGGACTTAAATCTTTCCAAAACACAAACTATGATCTTTTTTTTTTTAAGCGTTTCACCCCAAGCAAGGCGAGAAGCCACTAGGACGCAAGGGTTACAGAAGATTTGGAGCAAGATCAGATAGGAGTGATAGAAGAACGGATGAGGAGAAGGGTAGTGGATAGATCAAGGCAACTGGAGATGTCGATTGACAATACATTTGAATAGCTGGAGATTATAGATCTCAGGGAAACTGGAATAGGCAAAGGAGTTCCACAGGCGAGAGGTGCAAGACATGAAGCTATTGGAGTAGAAGAGACGGCTACATTTAGGAGTTTCGACAGTGAAGGGGTGAGAGCGGGATGCCAGCCTCGTAGGGCGCTTGAACTCATAAAGTCTGGGAACCAGCGAATGCAGCTACTCGGAGCAATTACCATGAAAGTATTTGTAAAAAAGACAGAGAGATGCGACGGCGCGTCTGTGAGAATGTGACTATAGACGGGATGCCAGAGCAGGGCCAGTTATATTGCATATCCGCCTCTGGAGCCTATCAAGAACCCCGAGGCAAACAGAAGGGGCTATAGACCATATATGACAGCAATACTCCATGCAAGGAAGAATTGTTGATTTGTAGATCTGGAAGATCTATTTGACTTGGAATGAAAGCAATGATGGCGCATACACTGAATCCATATATTTTTATTTTCAAATACTTCGGTGTATGGATCAGTTATAAAAAATTAGTATAAAGAAAGAAATTGAACATAGAAAAGGCTGCGTTAGTGCTAGCTACACCCAACATCGTAAGTAGCTACAAAAATCAAAACATTAACATACAAACTCGAGTCGTTTTCTTAACTTTGTCAGATCGAGACTTTCACATGAATGTCGTGTATGGCGCCAGACTAGTTTATAAATATCTAAACTGTCAGTTGTTTACAATCGCTTTCTCAAATCAAATATTAAGAATGGCATGTTGAGATTGGGCCCTGTAAATATTAGCGAGGACAATTCTTGTGGACTGGTGCTACAGAATCACAAACAAAGAACTGTACCAGATAACAGAGGCCACATCACTTGAGGACTTACAATAATAGAAAAATCTAAAATGGGTAACACATGGAACTTAAAGAGAAAATATTGATATAATCATAATGTTGGCGTTCCTCACTACTAAAAAGTTTAAAAAGAAGCACCCATCAATACTGGAAAGAGGAATAACAGTTAGTGGACTTGAGATATCCATTTTCCGGAAAAATTGTTTTAAGAGAAAGATTTTATAAATTTTAACCGGAAGTTCCATTGGCTGATCGGTCAATGAATGCCGAATATAAGGGAACGGTTATTATTATTATTATTACCATTATTATTTGAAATCTTTTGAATGTTAATTTATCTCCAAAATGAAATATTTTCAGAAACGAAAGCCATATTCAGTCAAAGAGGAAACATTAATTTTCATACAAAATATTCTCTTTTCAGGATTGCGACTAATTTATAGTATAAACGACATAATTTCTACGAATAGACAAAAAATTATTATTAACTTTGTACGCAGCTTAAATTCGTTTTATTCTCCGCAAGAATTCGTCTAAAGTAAAAAATAAAAAATAAAACATCAGCGTTTTGTTCTTTGGTAAAATATAAATTAATTTATTTTTAAAATAGTTAAAAAAAGTTCTCTGATTCCGATTGATATTTTTTCTCATTTGATACTCTCGGAAATTGATTCTAATTTAGTTAAAACTACCATAAAGTGAAACCAATCTATATTATTTCAAATTCAACAACAGTTATTCTAAACAAAAATTGAAAAGGGTTAATTAAAAAAAAAAACAACAAAAAAAAAACAAAAACAAAAAAACAAATGCAATGCTATTTTATTTTTGCTTTTGGTGGGATTGTTTTATTATTGGCTATTAAATGCTTTCTGCTTAAGTGTGAGTCGTGTATTTTCCAGCAGTTCCAGAGATCGGTGTTCGATCCGTTTTACCAGCATTTCGAATGCTGATTTTCAAGACAGACCGCAAACATCTCTATTTAGAAGATTAGCGCAATACAATCTTTCTCTTACTCGGTGGTTTTGCATTATATTAATCAAATGTTAGAAAATATATATATATATATATATATATATATATATATATATATATATATATATATATATATATACATCTGGTTTAGTGCTCCTGCCATTTATTCCGAGACTCTTGACGAAATACAAAGAATCTGTAATGCAATCGATCCTGACGTGGCATCTCGACTTCAGTCACATTCTCAGCGAGGTGGTGTGGCTTCTCTCTGTCTTTTCTACAAATATCTTCATGGCAACTGCAATGGCGAGCTTTTTTCACTTTTACCTCAACTAGATAAATTTAAGCGTGCTACTAGATTGGCATCTAGATCATAGCCGTTTATTGTTGAAATAACTAAATGCAACCGCCACTTCTACTCCAACAGTTTCTTTTCTCGCACTTCCCGCCTGTGGAATTCCCTTCCGTTTACTTGCTTCCTTGATAAGTGTAATCTTTAAAAATTTAAGTGTAACGTCAATTGCCATCTTTTGTCTTTCTGAATCCCGTTCATCTTTTGTCCTTTCCTCAATCCTCCCTATACTCAGTCTTTTCTCTCGCTTTTACTCCTTGTAGCCTACTGCGTACTAGTGGTATTCCTGCCTTGCACGGTGGAAAATGATTATATATATATATATATATATATATATATATATATATATATATATATATATATATATATATTAAAACAGACAGGGTGATTAATCATTTTGGGAAAAAGTCCACCTGTAACATTCTCATTCCAACCATCCCTTTTATTTATTATTATTATTCAGGAAATTTCCTCATATCTCCTACTTTAGACGGCGAGCATTTTAGGACAAAGTGTTTTATTACTGTAAATTATTAAAAGAAAATATCTACCCAACACTTTTATCCAAACTAATCCTTTTATTTGTAAGTCAAGTGTAAATCTGTACAATCATTAAAGTATTTTTATTGGCTTTCTTTGACTTTACGTCACCTTTCAACTACAACAGTGTATTCCATTATAAAAGAAATATTGGCTCAATTTTTCAAAGAATTGTTCAATATCTTTGCATTTTTGGAACCGCTGTCAAGACAAAGTGTTTTGGAGCAAAGCTAATAAAAGTCTAAAAGTGACAAATCCAAAGAATACACCACACACTAGAAAAAAATACCAGCTACATGATCGGTTTTTACGTCGTAGTTTAAACACTACAACAAAAGAAGACATTACTGGTCTTTTCTTTTCCGGTGCATTCTTGAAACGAACCACTGTAGCGTTTTTTCCAGAAGAATACGTAATCAAAAAACGCTTTTGAAATTCATCAGTGAGAACATTTCCCACCATTCAATTCAAAAAGCATTTACCTATCACATCCATCACAATGGTGGGCCACAACTTATAGGGAGGAACACAGACGTTTATACTGATTTAGCCTGAAACATTCTGCACTTCCTATTAATTCAAAGGTTTTTGAGTTTATTAGGAATTATTTCAGTCAATGGATTTGTGGGTAATTTTTTCACGTTTACTATTGCCTACAATCATATCACGTTCAAGCACCGGTTCCCGTACGATCACCGAAGTTAAGCAACGTCGAGTCTGGGCAGTACCAAGATAGGCGACCGCTTGGGTAATACCAGGTGCTATAATCTTGGATGTGCGGTTTGTGTAATGGATAATGGCTCGGAATTTGTTAATCGGAAAGCCGAGATCCAATTCCAGTTAGGTTCGTTATATTCCCTTACGCAAACATACACTTGGTAAAAGTATGAATCCACCTCTTTTCCCCACAGCATTGGGTTAATTAGTAAGACCTGTATTATTAAGTCGTTATTATCTCTAAAAAAATCTTATGATCTAAAAATATTGTCTAGCTTTGAATAACATGCAAAGGGTTGTTAAACTGTAGGAAACGAATCAATCAATCAGCGTTTACTATTGTCTTTATTTTAGCGATTAGCATGAAGTTTGAATGTAGTGTTTTCAATGTATTTTCTACTTTTTTTCAAAGTATTTAAGTTCTTCGTCTCGATAGTGGGGGTGAAATTACATATTCTAAATGCTCTGAGATAAAAACCTATTATTACAGAGGTTTTAGATTTATTTAGTCCTGATATAAGTAAAGATGTGTGTAGACATTCTTATTTGTTGACGTTTGATATACTTTGTTATTTATTATTGGATCTAATTAATAAAATGTCTAAAAATAGTGAATTCGTATTTCCTATTTCAAAGGTAAATTCAATAGGTTGTGAATTAGTATTTTCTATTTCAAAGGTAAATAGTTGAGTTGGTGAGAGTATATTTATATCAATGTTTTGGGGATATATGCTTAAGGCATCATCAACAAATCCGAGATATAATTAATTTTTCGAAGGCTGTACTGAAACGGGCCTGATTATAAAATAATCTAGACATACGTATGTTAAAAAGCCATAAGAGGGCTACCGATAGAAAATCTAAATTTTTGTTTATAATAACTGTTGTGGAATTTGAAATAACATAGATTGGTTCATACATAGTTTACATATACTGATAATAGTTTCAATATATAGATCTATATACACACATTTATATATAAGCATATACTTATATGTAAGGATTGATTAGTTATTTTTACGATTTATCAACATTTTGTGGGTTATTTAAAGCGGAAACACACTTTGGATTGAATAATTCTTTTATTTGCATTAACAGTATTTTGATAATAATGAAGATTTTTCCAGATACAAGTTATACTATTTAGCCCATAGATGAAGGAGATGGATTCATACCTTTCCTAAGGATATTTGCGCAAAAGTGAATGTAAAGAACCCCTCGACACAGTTCTCCGATTTATCATTCCGAGAGCCGTTATCCATTACACCACCCACACATCCACACAAACAGTTATATATATATATATATATATATATATATATATATATATATATATATATATATATATATATAGGATGACTTGATAAGACACCAGAAGTGTTGAAACAAAATGTCTATTTTCGTAGTGATTTTATAACATTTATGTTATAATTTTCGAATAAATTATATTTTCTCTACTCCTCTACTCTGTATTGAGCACTCTTTTAAGAATAGTATTTTTTGGTTATTGGAATTTATTCCGTATACACCAATTCTTATACTTGGATATATATATATATATATATATATATATATATATATATATATATATATATAATTATTTAAAAAAATAATTTAAGCTCTACTTCTGTATGGAGCACTGTTTTTTTTAAAAATAAAAACAAAAATACTAAAGAACTCCGTATTATTTACCTAACGTGCTCTTTCCTATTTTTCTGCATATCTGCACACACACACACACACACACACACACACACACACACACACACACACACACACACACACACACACACACACACACACACATCTATGTTAGTTATTATTTTCTATTTCAAAGCTAAATTCAATAATTAAAATTATTGAATTTACTCCTAACGTCTCTGTTTAAACTCTTAAAATTTATTTTTAATTTTTTATTTATTTACTCTCAATAGAAGTAGAAAGGTTCCCCTATCGTCCGGTTGACGTTCTTTTGAATATGAGTAGAGGTTTATCTCTTGTTTCCTCTTTAGGACTGGGTTTCCGGTTCCTTCTAAAGTCTGCTTCAGCTCTATACTCCTAACGTCTCCACCTTAAATTTTATAACTAATAATAGTGGTTTATTCCTTCTTTCCTTTTTAGGATTGGTTACTATCTTAGTGGTATTATCGCCTTGCTTGGGGTGAATTGACTGAGCCTGGTTATAATATTTGTAATTTATCTCGAGTTCCATTAGTAAATAACTTCCCTGTGGAGACAGAAAGAATACTTATATTTAGCACCAGAAAGGAACAGTTGAAATTTCTAGAGCATATTGCGTAGAGACCTTGTGTAAATGGCTGGTAGTACAGAGATTAGGAGAGATAGCAAAAAGACAAAACTTACAAAGAGCTACAGAGGAGAGGAAATTATGGAGAGCCATGATCGCCCACGTCCTGATAGGATAGGGCACAAATAAAAAGAAGAAGAATACTTATAACCGAAACAGTAATGTGTTTTCTAAAGATGTTAAAGCTTAGTGTAAAATAAGGATATAGAATACTGATTTTCAAGGCAGTATGGCGCAATACAGTCTTATCACTTCTATTTTGAACCTTCAAAATTTAAACTAGTACCGTACTAAGTTTAGAAAATATGGAAAACATTTCGGAAGTTTAAAGCAAATATAAGCTTTCTTGTTTTTGTAGATTTCTTACAAGTATTCTCTTTTTATCAAATCGAAATTTCGGTCATTGCTCTCCAAGAGCTTATAAAACTATTTTCTGGCATTCAATATAAGAACTTAATACATTCTAGAATTCATTAAAGAAAAAAATAACTTATACTAAGTAATGAAGATCCAGTATTCTCTCAGGGAAAAAATAGTACCAACACACACTTTGCTTGATTGGTGAAATATTTTTGGTAAATTGATACGAATTATTTTTTGTCCAAGCTCTGTGTATTCGAAAAGTGTTGAGGTCGATCAGTTCAAAGAGAATTAATTTTCCTTCTGGTGTTTTTATTTTTAGGTTTTTTTTTTTTTTTTTTATTAGTCGTTTTTCTGTCCCTCGTGATTTTCCTCGGTAACGTCTTCCATAACTTGGAAGCGACAATCATTCAAGCGTAATTTAGTACTTTGTCCCTAATTACTTTTGCACCGATTAACTTATTTCTACTTTGGCTTGGCCTCAAAAGAAAAAAAAAAAAAATCAGTTTTGCCAAAATTATTTTAAAAAATGACAACTAATCTAGATTAAAGTAATTCCGACAAACATTATTGTGGGAGATGCGGAGAAGCGTGAAGGAGACGAACGCGGAAATAAGAATCAATAAACCCAGATCGAATTTTTACTGATATGTTAATATTCAAGTTAATAACAATATCCTTTGAAAAAATATGAATCTAATTCACTATGCACTCTGCCCTTTACCAGAAAATCATAAAGTTTCTAGTTACTATCATGCCACATATTTTACAAACAATAGAATTGGTAAATGAGCACATAAACAATTCTTTTATAGCTACTATAGGCAGTAGTATGAACAAAGTATTATCCTCATAAACAAATTTAATAAGGACCAATAATGAGACCGAAAGAAATCAATATTGTTTAGTAAAGAATTATGTGAATTTCGATAGATTATTTTCCCATTAAAAAAAAAACACAAAATCAAATGTAAAGGAAGACTCCAAAAAAAAACAAACATTTTAAGCAACACAAGATTGACGTACGATCAATGTTTTTAACTGATTTATCACAAGAAGACATCACAAAATCCATCTTAAAATTGGTCTCAATAAAACTAATGTTTTTAGTAAGCAATACCAAATCAAAAAACGATGAATATTTTTAATAGATATCTTACCAGAAGCCTTCAGGAAATCCGACCTAAAATGCGTTTCATAAGAAAACTGATATTTTTAGTAAGCAATGTAAAATAAAAAAAACAAAACAAAAAAAAACAAAAAACAATGAATTTCACGAAACCCAGTCTAAAGCGTGTCTCATAATAAAACTGATGTTTTCAGCAAGCAATAACAAATCAACGTACGATCAATATTTTTAAATTGGTTTCTTACGAGAAGAATTCAAATTCTGAATTTGTTTCATAATAGATCCGATATATATTTATTCCAAACGATATCAACTCAACTTGAACGTTGAAAATTTTTAATTGGTTCTCTTCCAGAAATTTTATGCAAGTGAATTAAGCATTTGTTCATTTGTTTGTCACTTTTTAATTCATACAAAACTTTTCCAGTTACTGCGTCAAAATTTGCTGTTACCAAGTTAAATCGAAGAGGACATTGTTTAACACTTTCCTTCCGAATGATTCTAAGATTCTTGGCGCGAATAGGATCAATAGAAATTCCTAGTCACCGGTCAATCCATTTTTTTCCCGAAAAAAAGTTAAATCGTTACTGAATGTTTCACCAAGAAGTCAGCAGCCATCAAACTGTACCAAAAGAAGCAAAAACCAATATTTATGCTTGCAACTCGTGTGGTGCGCACCACATACGCCCGTGGAAAACGTTAGGAAAATCTGAAAAGATCATGTATATAATTGTTAATACTATTAGATTACATCTAGAGTAGTATACAGGCTCCTTTCGGAGTGAAATATTTTGCGGCAAAATCGTCAGTTTTATGATGAATTGCTAACGTTTTTATTGACATGATTCTTTGAAAACTATAACGGGAATGTAACTAGTATTGTGTTTTATACAGTATTATATATAAAAGACATTGAATAAACAGAAATTAGTGATGCATTGTGAAGAGTTAAGAAACTAAAAGTTAATTTAATGACGCTAAAATAACTTCTTCTATGCACCAAATCCCTTCAGTTCTACGCAACTTCCTCTACCTCGTGACCCTTAAACAACCTTTCTCCCTCCTAACTCCCGTTCTGCCATCTAATTATTCAAAATCGTGATGTAGGCGGCCAGCTGATTTCACCTATCTCTTTTACCCACGATATGCCCTGCGAGAGTTAAATTTTCCAAGCCTTCTTTCCCCATTATGTGTCCAAGAAATTTCATCTGTCTCTCTCTGATTCTGATTATAAGTGTTCTTTCTGTTACTATTTTCTTTAAGGCTTCCTCGATTCTTACTTGCTCTGTCCATGGAATTCTCAGTATCCATTCTTTTGCCTCCAGTTCTCTTCTCTTCTGTGGTGAGGTTTTCCGACATTCACTGCCATACAAGCGGACTGATAGCAATTCAGCACTTTTTTTTTGTTTCTAACGATTTTTTTCCTGTTTCTTATTACTTTGTTTAGCTTTTGGATTGCATCTTTCGGTAATCTGATGCGCGTTCGGATTTAGGCGTCACATTTTCCATCCTCTGTTAAGTAAATATTAAAATGTATTAAATCCGCCTAACTGTAAAAGTAATTTGTGTCCGTTAAAAATATTCCAAATCTGTTCTCGCGAGGTGATTACACGAATTTGATTGCTTTTCATCCTTAAAATGAGGGGTTATGAACGTATTAAACTTCACAGACTAACATTTTCAGCTGACATGAAATAAAAAGAGTATACTGAATCGATTGGTAAGTGTGCAGCTAAGAAAGTTGATTCACTAAGTCGTGTTAGACAATTTTTCTTGCCAGAATCTATCTTAACATATTTATAAGTCTACCACTTTTCCTTGCTTCTAATATTGCTGCTACATCTGGTCTGGTGTTCTTTCAATATATATATAAAGATTCTTGATAAAATTCCAAAAAGAATCTGCAATGTTATTAGTCCTTACCTGGCATCTTGGCTTCAGTCTCTTTCCCGCTGCCATAATGTAGCTTCCCTGTGCCTTTTCTATAAATACCTTCATGGTAATTGTTGATAAACTTTCCTCTATGGAACCTAGACTTCATGAATTTAAGTGCAGTACTAGAATGATGGAAATTTTACAGTTGAAATAGCTAGATATAACCATAGGTTTTATACTAACAGTTTCTTTTATCACACTTCTTGCATGTGGAACTTTCTTCCAGCTTCTTGCTTCTCAGTCAACTTTGATCTTCATAAATTTAAATGCAATTTCAATCTTTATCTTCTTAATTTCTAAAAAATTATCAGCAACAACAGGTTACACTAAATCAAATCTTCCTGTTGCTTTCAGTTCTAATACGGTAGAATTGTAAAATATTTAATTTATTACAGATAGAATTCCATAAGAAAACATAATTATTTTCTTAATAGAACTGCTCACTTTTAATCATCTGTGAGAACCTTTTTCACTTTTGATCAGCATGGCTGATGATAACCTCCAGGAGAGCAACTCAATACATTTTCTCAGACTAACATTTTCAGCTGACATGAAGTGGAAAGATTATATTGAATCAATTGCTAAGTCTGCGGCTAAGAAAGTTGATTCACTATGTCGTGGTAGACAATTTTTCTCGCCAGAATCTATCTTACATATTTATAAGTCTACCATTTGTCCTCGTTTTGATACTCCGTTTTTTGCGCGGGCACCAAAGTTCAACGATTGCCGATTGGATAATTATCCTCTGTACGCAATGATTGATCACGCAGATGATGCGATGACCGCGAAACAGACAGAAAATATGTGTTCAATTTTACGAATATTACTGACCTTATTTATCGTATACTTTTCTTTGCGCTTCCTTGTAAATGCTGTATATTTCCGTCTATAAGGTGACCTTTAGATAAGATAAGGTAAAAAAAAAAATATTTATCCTTTACCTGTAGTATAAAAAAAACTACTTATTGATTATATAAAGGGGATATTATTGAAAATCTTGTCTACTTAATGTGTCCTTAGAAATTCAAAATAAACAAAAGAACAAAACCTATTCTTTCTCTTTTTTTTCCCTACAAACGTCCTCTAAGAGGGAAACCATTGTTTTGTTTACGTTTCATTACGTGATCTTTTGTGATTATTGATTCTTCTTCTTCTTCCTCTTCTTCTCCTATATCTAAACAGTTACAATCAACCTGGTAATGGCCATTTACTTATACTTCATCGACAATCACAAAATACTGCTAATAACAGTACGATAATAGTACATTCCATTGCGGTGAACGCAATCATAATTCGATGTTTACATCTTCTCAGTTGAGCTTGCATGGATACAAGTTGATTTCATTGATATGGAATTATTCTTTGAATAGACAATTTATTATGAAGTTATGCCAGTAATATATAAGGTTTTATTAATTTTATTATAAGTTTGTTTGATAATGAGAATCTTTTCATGTACGTTGTTGGTTATCGCACCAAGGCCAAGGTTAGCCTACTGACAAACATCACTCAGAATTTAAGGTTTCTTTGTTAGAATTGTAGCATAAGATGACTACTAATTTTTAAGGGTGGGTTTTGGGTCGTCTTATATAGCGGCTCGGATTGAGAAATCGGAGAGCCGGGTTCGAATTCCAGTCGAAACCATTACATTCACTTACGTGCTAATACCCCTGGGAAAGGTATGAATCCTCTTCTTCTCCCCCAGCTATGAGTAAATAGCAGGATAGACTGGGTTCTATAGCTTTGTATGGCAACTGGTCTACCGCAGAAAGAAATGGCAATTTACTGCGGGAAAAAATCTGCCTCGTCAGTCATGTATCGAAAGATACATGATCGCCTATGCGTGTATCACGCATGGCACATAACTGGCTGAATCTCTTAAGGAGGGGACATAAGTGTTCTATTAGAGTAATATATGTAGAGACTTGGAACCATTTTATTAATCTGGTGTTTTTAGAACTTTTAGGGGCAGCCTGGGCAATAAGTCAGCTTTGGAGAATGTGCAATAATATTATCTTATACGCAGAAATATACGGTACTAGCGAGCAAATTATTTCTGGGCACACATTTCCCAAATGATTTCGTTACTTATGTTATTACGTATGTTAAAGCTTTGGTAGAACATTAAATAAAACACACCTCATATTATGTTCTTTCATTTTTGTTCACCTGTCTTTCAAAGTAATTAGTAATCTTAAAAGTATTTTACAAAATAAATATTATAATAACTTTGTGCAGTGATCTAATGACAATCTCGTATATATCCAGATCTGAATTCGGTTTGAAGCATGTTCACTGAAGATATCATTTCGGCGTAGGTATCGTTGATCCGTCAAAAAAAAAAATCTTGTTGGAGTGAGTCATGTTTGAGCGGCAGCTTCCACGACATGAGTCGAAGTGCTTAATGCGTAGAAAATTAAATGCCTAGGCCCGCGGACTTCAAGGAGACATTGACTTATTGTTATAGTTTCACGGATTAGATGTGCTAAGTCACCGACTAGAGACCATAACGTCTCTGTTCATTGGTCATTTGGCAAACCCATATATCTTGATTTCGTGCGGAGACACCAGAAATGTCATTGTTTGAGTTCCTCATTAATTGACCACTTCCAGTCTGCCTTTTTGGATCACTTTATTTAGAACTTATAACTTATTGAGAATTTTTAACCAGGTTGCTTTTGATTTATTTTCGCGTTTAATGCTGTATTGATCTCCACAGTACAGATATTTAAATATCTAGTTACTTAACTATACAAATTTGTTCATATTTTGCATACAGACTCATTGATCTATCTATCTATCCCAGCTTGAATAATGCAGATTATATTTTATATAATAATTGGTTAGTGTAAGGTCCGTTGAATAATGTGGGTGAGGAGAAAAACATTTTTCCTATTATGGACAAGTTGCAGTTGCTGGAGGCATAAGTGTGCATTTAGTTCTTCATTATGCTTTAAAAACTTCAAATAAATAAATAAATATTATAAAATAAATTTATTGAGCTCCACGGAACAAAGGGAAGGTTGTGTTTGCAATTGGATCGTCAGAGTATTATTAATTTTATTTTATAATTATATAAATTTTATAATAATAATAATTATAATAATAATCTGACGATCCCATTACAAGCACAACCTTCCCTTTGTTCCGTTGATCTCAGCTTTTGGGGTCAGTTGTGGAGATTTATCCTTGCCAATCCACTGCTTTTTGCACTGAAAATTGTCTTATGAAAGCCATTTTTCATCACATGTTATGATAGGGCTCCTGTCATATATTTAGAGATTCTTGATAAAATTCAAACGTTTTGAATAAGTCCTGAAAATTTTATTAAAATCTGAAAATTATCTGATTTTTGTAAGAATTTCCAAATCAATTTTTTTCCACTGTAAAAAACAGCAAAAGAACAAAAACAAAAAATGCTCAAATTTCTCGTACAAAATTAAGGTCTCGCGTTGACGCCAGAAAAACAAGATATTTAACGAAAATTTCCAACATTATAAAAAGGATTAAAAAATAATTTTTATATAAAACATCCTTTCATCTTTGTTTTTAATAATAACACAAAGAATTTGACGATAAAAATAGTTTTTATTATGCTTTGGACATTTTTCATGATGTATCCTTTTTTAGTGAATTTTTGGAAGTACTGAACACGTTGGAAAAATGATCATACTCGAAATCGAGTAGTCAGTATCTATCTATCTATCTATCTATCTATCTATCTATCTATCTATCTATGTTTACAGCCATGCATTTACAATTATGTATAACCATAAATAAATACTCAATCAGACACAAGCATACATTTTTTTACATTGTCACATGTCTTGAAGTGTACATGTTTGATATATAAATGTTATCTCTGGCAAATAAAAACACTTACACTTACACATTTTCATTTTTCTCTCTCACACATACGCGCATACCCACCCACAAAACAATCGCATATTTTCTCCTCGTTTATTGCATATATATATTTAAGTATATACGCATTCACAAACGTGCATTTTCCTCTTGACATAACGTCTTGCACGTCTCAATTTTCCTTTTTCCTGTTTTTTTTTTTTTTTTTTTGTAACGCACAGACCTACCGACGCTCATTTACACTTACGCTTGGACGAACAGACGGCCGAAAGACGTCAGAGAGCGGGGCCGTTTTCCATTCTCTCCATTTTTGTTTGTGGAGGCCAAAACCATTTTGAATTACGCCGTAAAAGTCCTTTCCACTGAGCCATGAAAACCGGGAGAAAGTAGAACCCGGATTAACTTAACAGAAGTATTAATAACCCGAGCAAGACGTGGACAATAAAAAGAAAGTGAGTGGGGGGGAAAAAAAGAGAGAAAGAGAAAGAAAGTGAGTGGGAAAAAAAAAGAGAGAAAGAGAAAGAAAGTGAGTGGGGAAAAAAAAAAAAAAAGAGAGAAAGAGAAAGAAAGTGCCAAGCTTTTTCTCTTGTCGCCGGCAAAATATCCAGACAATATTTTTCTCGTTTTATTTTCCATTCTTTCTTTTGGTTTTGCGGCAATATTTAATTCATGAGAATTTTTGGTAGTGATGGGGTGAGGCGATTGTGTTAAGTGAGGTGAAATGAAGGTAAGAAACGAAGGAAAACGGGATATAAAAAGTAAAAATGAAGATGAAGCAGGAGAAGGAGAAGGAAAAGGAGAGGGAGAAAAAGAAGGAGAAGGAGAGGAAGAAGGATCTTTATTAAGAGAAACGAAAAAAAAAAAAAAGAAATTTATTGGAAGATGAAAAGAAAAATAAGTATTTATTAGATAAAGAGAAATAAAAATAGAAGAAGAGAATTAAAAAGAAAAATAATTACAAGGCAATAATGAGGCGGTGATAATGGAAAAGAATGAAAATCCAAAAAAGGAATGAAAGAAAAAAAAATCAAAGGATATTATTAGAGAGAGAGAGAGAGAGAGAGAGAGAGAGAGAGAGAGAGAGAGAGAGACAGACAGACAGACAGACAGACAGACAGACAGACAGTGTGTGTGCATAGGGGAAGAGAAAAGAATAAAAGATTTTGAAGATGAGAAAAATAAAACTAAAAAAGAAGAAATTAAAAATATATTATAAGTGAGGACTATAGTAAAAAAATGAGAGAAAGTTAGAAGTAGAGTGTGAAGAAAGAAAGAAAGAAAGAAAGAAAGAAAGAACGAAAGAATGAAAAAAAGAAGAAAGACGTGGAAAAGTAAATTATATTACTGATACTACTACTACTACTACGAACAATAATAATGATAATATAAAATCATTGGCGTTCTGGGAACGAAAGATTTACAAAACGAGTACAGAGAAGTGACATCGCGCAGAACAAAGCACTATTTAAAGTCGATGAGTAACCCTCTAACTTGAGTGGCTCTTGGGCCATTTATAGCGTGAACTATAATAAAAAAGGGATCGATTTGATACACAACTGTTCGATTTGGTTTATATCGTAGTGCAATATTATTACGAGAGATCTATCAAGGCTAGACAACCAGACTTAGGAGACGGAAAGAAATGAATAGATTTTGAATTAAAAAATAAAAACTGTGAACAATTTAGGTACCGCCAGGGACTTCCTAAAAAAAATATTTAAAAACGCATTTTAAATGTCATCATTGAAGTTAAGTTTTGGTTTTATTTGAAGGATAATAGCCTAACACTAATACATATGAAAAAAAAAAAAAAATCCGTATGTAAACAAAGTTCACTCGTCCCATATCGACTCATGGAAACTCCATTATAGACAGAAAATGTAAAAACTAATGTAATAATTTCTTTAAATCCAATAGTTGTTCTAGTGATGTGCTTCAAAGTAAATTAGTAAATTTAAGGTTTAATTAAGTGGATTTTCTAAAAGTAATCCTTTCTTTTTGCTTAAAACATAATAAAAATAACATTTATCTATGCACGGTAGGTTGTGAGCGGTCATCAAAGTCACAGGTTAAAAAGAGTAATTTTCTACTGTCATCCCTGACTCTTAAAAAGCACGCGAATGATTTTTAATAAATTAAAGAAATACGGAACACATGCAGTTCAATAATCAAGAAATTGGTATTTATGTTTAATAATAAAATATCTTTAACCTTATATAAACAATAGTTTCAGGATATAATTTTTTATTCTATAAACTTATGAAACTTAGTAGAACGAATAATTTTATTTTTTGTACTAAAATATAAATATAAAAGAAATTAATTAGAAAAGAAACTAGTAACATACTTTTTACTTTAATTCATTTCTTTTATTTCTTGATTATTTCATTACCTGTTTCATATCGTAAAATATTTAATTGCATTCAAAGAGGACTTTCTTAATTATTCTGAATTCAAGAAATTTTTTAATCGGCATCACCCGACGCAAGGCAGTATAGCCACTAAAACACATGGGGTTACAACGCGTGGAAGAATTAGGGACAGAAACATTAATAATGAGCAGGAAGAGAAAAGAGTAATCTAGAGCGATTGACATTGCGTTAAAATTTTTGAAGATTAAAGATGACTGGAAAGCATGGAACCGGAAGGGAGTTTCCCAAGAGAAGTGCGAGAAAAGGAACTGTTAGCATAGAACTTACGGTTATATCTGGTTAGCTCAACTGCAAATTGATGAGATCTCGCTGCCAGTGTAGTATTGCGTTTAAATTCAAAATGTAGGCGCCATAGTGAAGAACCCATCCAAACAATTACCATGAAAGTATAAAAAAAGGCACAGAGAGGCAACCATACAGCGGTGGGCAAGTGACTGAAGCCGAGCCGCCAGGTCAGGGTCAATAATATTGCTGATTCTTCTTTTTATCGAGGAGATCAAGGTAAATAACAGGGGTACCAGACCATATGTGGCAGCAATATTTTAAGCATGGAAGAATGGTAGCCTTATAGATATGTAAGATAGTTTCTGAAGAGAAAAATTGTTTAGCACAACACAGTGAACCAACTTTCTTAGCAAAAAACATAGCATTGGATTTAATATGAATTAATTAAAATAACAAAATTGCAATTTGAAATAAAAAAAAGAATATAGAGAAAATTGATAAAGTATTATAGAAGTGAGAGTTTTAATTGATTAATTTCACTTTGATTTCTTTCAGACATAACTGCAATAAAAAATTATAAACCTCCCTGCAAACTCTTTAGAAAACAATGAAAATGCTACTGTCGGGTTTAAGAAAATAAAAATAATCAATAGTTACTAAATAAGCAGGAAAACACAGACACGCAAAAAGGTGCATCTGTATCGATGGATTGCAAAACAGGAAACTCATTGGCTGATTAAGAACGAAAAATATTAATATTAAATTAATGTCCTATTAGTCTTCTGATTTGGAAATGTACGCCAAAGGAAGTAATTTAAGAAAATAATTTAACATTTGTGAAAATAAAGAATAAAACAAAATTCTTTTAAAAATATTTCTGATGTGAAAATGGCATCGAACTATACAGTTTTTGAATCTTCAAAAACATATTTAATTAATAAAAACATCTCTTTTGTTAACAGTACCCGAAAGAATGTAAAAATCGCACAAGAAAACTTTTCAAAAATAAATTTTCTCAATGACATATCAGGAGGAAAATAACGCGTTTTATCAAATTATACAAGTACCAACTTCCCACAAAAAAATATTTTTTGAGTTTTATTGAATTATTTTTGTAATGTTTCAAGATTTTCTGATTTAGTATTGAAATTTCTTTTTTTTATTGAAAGTTTTTTTCTTTATAAAATTTTAAAAATATTTTTCATCACCTCTCAATTTTAAGTGTTCACGAGGTATCTAAAGGGGGTTACTGACTAAAAAAAGTATTCCCACTAAGTTTTCCAATAAAATAACTTATTCACCATATAATTTATTCATTAATGAATAATTATTGGAAATTTAATTTAAATCGGATAATTCCTTGAATTTTGGTTAATTTTTGGAAATAAAGGGTAGCATTTGTTGTCATTAATTTTGGAAATAAGCATCGATTTTAGTAATCAATAGGCCATATGAACGTGAAGTAATGCCTATAGTCATTCGAACAATCATCTGCAGAGAAGTCAGAGAATCGATGGGCAATGAGAATCATTTAGATTATGGACTTGTTTAAATCTATGTGAATAAGAGCACAAGAGACTTATTGTCACTCTGTCCCTAGCAATAATCCCACTTTGTTGCCTAATATGAAGTACTAACAGGTACGTCGAGAATTTTAAATAAGGGGAAGAAGAGATTTAAAGAAACAGCTTTCATTCAGCTTTCAGTAAGAGACTTCTAGATAATTTTGGCGTCAATGAATAAGTAAATAGTAACAATTGTTATTTACGTTATTATATAGGGTTCCCCTCCAACTCCCAAAACTCGTAGCTCTCTCAGTTGTCCATCTGAAGTCCCAATCTGACAACACCCGATCTTTGACGGCCATTCACTAATTAAGCGGACCTTTAATTATCTAACAGTCAGTACCGGTTACAGACTGACAGACGGACAGAGAGACAGACAATCTCGTATATGTCCCGTCACCTCCTTTTGAAAAATGTCCAGATTTTCAAGAATCGTCTTCATAGTCCACTGGACACAACCTAGGCAGGGTGGAGACATTAGTAGGGGAAAGGGTTGAGTTTTGGGAGCTTGAAGAGAATGTGTTAGTGTGAAGGAAGTTTTGGGGTGAGGGTGAAATAAGCTTTGGGTTGACGTACCTCAAATGAAAGGCCCCACCCACGACGACGGACGGCCCGTTCACCTAACTTTATGGGATCCAACGAGCATCTTTGATTATTGTTGCCTTTTGGGCGCTGACTTGTTTTTCTCAATCTGCATTAGTTTTTATTGCGATTATTTGAAGATGTTTCATGTGTTTCTCTATTTTTGCATTTCATCTTTCTTCCTAATCACCTTTCTCCCTTTTTATAGATTTTCCTTTTCTGTTAATGCTTTTCTTCTTTCTATTTATAATTGGTTTTCTTTCTTTCTTTCTTTCTTTCTTTCTTTCAACGTCATTCGACTTTGTTCCTTCGTTTTTCTTTCTTGTCAATCATTTTTAATTGATATTTTTTCTTCTTTTCTTATTTTTGAAATTTTTATTTTCTATATGGATCTATTATTCTTTATTTAATTCTTTTTTGTCCTGTTTTTGTCTTTCACTCTTTTTTTTTTTACTTTCTAAATTGATCCATTATCCTTTCTTTTTTTCTATCGTGATTCTATTACATCGTGCTTTTATTTTCTTTCTTTCTTTCTTTCTTTCTTTCTTTCTTTCTTTCTTTCTTTCTTTAATATTTATATTAATATTTATTTCTTTTTACTTTAATTCTTTTACCTTCCTTCCTTCCTTCCTTCCTTCCTTCCTTCCTTCCTTCCTTCCTTCCTTCCTTCCTTCCTTATATTTTCTTTCTTTCTTTCTTTCTTTCTTTCTTTCTTTCTTTCTTTCTTTCTTTCTTTCTTTCTTTACTAAGTTTTAATTTAATCTTTATTCCCTTTTTACCCTCTTTCCTTCCTTCCTTCATTTCGTTTACTTTCTTTCTTTTTTCTTTCTTTTTTATTTCTATTTTCTTTTGCTTTATTTATTTCTGTTCTTTCTTTCTTTTTTCTTTCCTTCTTTAGTGATTCTATTATTCCATATTTTTCTTTTCTTTCTTTCTTTCTTTACTAAGTCTTAATTTCTATATTAATTTCTATTTCCTTTATACTTTAATTCTTTTACCCTCCTTCCTTTCTTTATTCCTTCCTTGAATTTTCTTTCTTTCTTTCTTTCTTTTTCATTTATTTTTCTTTTTCTCTTTTCTTTATTTATTTGTGTTCTTTCTTTCATTCTTGATTCTATTATTTCATATTTTTCTTTTCTTTTCTTTCTTTCTTTCTTTCTTTCTTTCTTTCTTTCTTTCTTTCTTTCTTTCTTTCTTTCTTCATCCATCACTTTAAAAAATTCTTCATCTTTCCCTTATTGTTTTCATTCTTTTTTTATTTCTTTCTTATTCCGTTTATTATTTTTGTGCTGTTGTCTAAGCATTATTTGTAATCGGGCGTGCGTATGTTCAT